AAAACAAACGCTGAAATACCATTCTCCATCTTAAATCCCCAATAAATGGTCGGGGCATTCTGTATTTTCGATTCACGAGTTGGATTTTACATTTAAAGTTCAGGCTGACGCACACGAAGCAAAGAATGCATAATGAAACACGTGATATTTCCTTTAGTCTAAATGTCTAAATGTGTAAATGTCTTTTTTCGGTGGACAACGTTAATGACATTGACTGTATATCACTATATGTATATCACATAATGAACAACTAAGCCAGTAGCTGAAGAAACGTCAGCAATGTCAACACAAACGCACTAAATGAGATGACATTGTTTACTTAAGAAGACTAGGAAAATGTACAAATAATTTAAGAGATTTCTAAATTTCCATCACGATTCAGAGAAAGAGAGGTTTACAAATGTGATTTAAGATGGTAATATTCAAAGGAATCCGTTCAAAGAATCCTTTGTGGCGAACCACAATAGTATATCTCACGTTTCCTGTCCACCTGTGCAATGGGGCATAGATGTTAATCACTCGTGTAAAAAAAAACACAAGCTCATTTGAATTGGAAATGAAAGCATCTCTGTTTGATGTCTTTGTCTAGGATTTTGCTCAATATCGAAAGTAAATAAGCTGTAGACGGCTTTAGATGGAGACGTATCTTAATAAATTGCTAGGATGTCAGAGGAATTCACAAATACCTCAGTGAATGAAATTATACTAACTTAACGAGCATGGTTGATGTATATGTATACAACTGACCAGTATTTCGACATTTGAAGAAAATGGCGACTCAAAATAACAACACAACGAAAGCAGAAAATCCCGAAGAACAGCGAAATGATCAAGAAATTCATGCTCCTATCGTTGGCTACGAAATAGTAGAAGCTAGGAAACGATTTACAGTGTACCAGATAAGTGTAACCTTGAGCGATGAAAGAAATTGGTTTGTATTTCGCAGATATTCGGATTTTGCTCGCTTGGATGAAAATTTACGTAAATTATTTGACGATGGCTTTCCTGACATTAGTCTTCCGCCTAAAAGATATCTAGGAGATAATTTTTCGGATATTTTTATTGAAATGAGGAAGCTGAGTTTGCAGCATTACTTGGAGGTTGTTTTGGGAAGAGAAGATATGTGTTGGACACAACCTGTTGTGGAGTTCCTCTGTTTAGACGATCCACCGGGCCCTTACGATAGCTTACAAGAGAGTAGAGCATTTATAGAGAATTTAGAAGACACAGTTGGAGATTTGAAACAGAAATACGACGAATTGAGCTCAGAATTACGGCTTGCTAAAGCTCAGCTTCGCTCAACGTTGTCTCACAGAAGGGCACTTCTAGTTGCATTACGAGCAGAACGAGTTTTGAATGGAAAACCAGCTCTCGATAATGATGATGTTGCATTGATGTCAGAGTACAAAGGGAACCCTGAAGTCAACCAACTTGACTTAAAAAATTTTGGAAAAGAAGAAACGATTTTGAAATCTAAGCAAACTTCAAGAAATCATCAGTCAAGATCTAGTGTTGCAAGTCAGTGGGATCTTAGGCTGGCTTCAAGACAGAACTCTAGGGAATCAAATTCAAGTGATACTAATAACAGAAGGGCAAGATCTGTCTCAGACCTGCCAAATGCATCACAGCGAAGACGATCTTCAAGGCATCTACCTTCAAATGACTCTAATAATATGTCTGTTCTGGATAAGTTTATGCGACAAAGCACTGATGCTTTGCAGCAAATACGACAGAGTGTGAGACAGAAACTTGGTAGATGGGAAAATGAAACGAACGACTGAAGAAGTGAGGTCATTTGACTAAATAAATTATGTAATATTTCTAGACAAATAGATTAATTGAAGTACTTCTCGATGGCAGAATATTTTGAACAGTAAAGTAAATGGAAAGCAAATAAAATCAATAGGATATATTAACAATAAGTACAGGTAATAGGACTACATGCTGTCCAATTTGGAAAGTTGGATGAAAAAAAATTCCGGACTGACAAAATTGGAAGAAGCCGACAATAATAAATAGGTTAATTAATAAATATTTAGATGACAGAATATTTGAGTTGTGGAAAGTAAAATAAATAAGAGGCGAATATAAAATAGTAGGAAAAAAATTATAAGATTAATTCATCGATGGAAGAGTGTTTGGGTTGTGAGAAAGTAAAAATAAACGGAAAGCGAGTAAAAATGATTGGAAAGCAGAAGTCTAAAAACTAACCATGATTACTTCTATTTATACCAAATAAATAAAACATTTTAGCTGAATAACGCGTAGTGTGAGATTAGAAATTTAAACATTTAAGTAACTAAAAAAGATTAAGAATCTCATGTTCATTTTTGAAACCCCAAGTTTTTCGCCATTACTTCAAATGCCTTAATTAATTTCGTKGAAAATAGACATTGAAGAAGGCCATAATTTTTCTGATTAGGAAATATTTGCACTGTTGTACTTGTTTTTGTCACGAATTACGACAAAACAGCCGCTCTAACTAGAGTGATTTTATTTGGCGTGAAAAAAAGTTGTATAATTAGGATACATGGCTATGAGGTCATTTGGCATCGTTCTAGATTTGTGGCTCAGCAGGTGTATTGTTTATCAAACGAATAGAGGTTAAGGATTATTGCTTTGTTCTATAAAAAAATTGAAACCAGAATGCACGAGAAATCTTGAAGGCAAGAAAGGCGTGAAAGCTGCCATGATGTTGATAACGTTGCAGTTAGAGAAGGATGGACTAGAAGTCTATAGCAATTTCTTCTATTGAAATGGAGATGCTCAAAAGTCTGGCCACATTTTTGGATGAAAACCACAGACATTCATCAGATGACCATCAGTTTTGATGTCAGGCTTACAGTATGCTAGCCCAAACGTGACAAAACTTCAAGTTGCATTTGTTCATGATCAAGCAGTACTTTTTATACATCAAGTTGATTTTCATTACACCAAGACCCTTGTGTTCTATGTCTAGTCATTTGTTTCGCTTGTCTAGTCATTTGGTTTTGATATCAAGCGCAATGTTTAAGTTGACAAGCAGCCATCACAATCAAAAGTCATTTAGGTCTTTGCGATTTGCATACAAAAGGGAACGCTAGAAGCACTCAGGAGAAGATTGATTTCGATCAGCTTGCGAAGGCGGGCGCAGGRCATTTTTGGCTTTATTACAATGTTTTCCAAAACCTAGTTTATATATWTTTTGAAATGTTCATATAGTGTTCTACTTATGTGAAAAAAATCAGACTGAGCAAATTTGAGCAAGATTGTTTTTTTGACATCTCAAATGTAGACTAGCAACTGCGCCCGCATTTGCTATATAAAATCTAGCGTAAACACCATGAAAAATGGTTCTTTGAGTACAAAAACTAGCGAATTCTTCGTAATGAAAACTCTTACCATGTTTTGGGTGTTCTCTAACACCAATAAAATTGTTTTATTGGCTAAAAACAAAGATACACAAGCCTAAATTTACCTTTGAAAGATCATCTTGTCAGCCGAACTTCCACCACAAACGGTCCGCCATTGTTGACAGGCAGAGTAGTGCCCATGCCCGTTTCAACGCCCTCCCTCCTCCCGCCCTGCAACTAGCTTCCAG